CAATATTCTTAGGATCGAACACTTCGATGGGTCCTTCTATGCGCTTATATGCATCAGCATATCTCCCCAACAGCCAATCAGACTTGGGTAACAATACGAATAATACAAATAACTATAATCATAATAAGAATAGTAATAGGTAGTTGATTCATGTGGTATAATACCTTTCACTTGTTTGCCAAGTTCAAAGCTCGCCTCGGCCGAACAAGGCCAAGGAAACACGCGTTTGGAAAAGGCGGAACAGGCTCTATGCCTCCAGCCCTGTCCCATGGTAGTCCCTATGTAGCCCATTACTGGTTTAGGATGGTTTAGGATTTGGGGGTCCCTAACTGGTGCCTATATAGCCCATCAGAATAGTTTCCATTTTCTTTTCCACTCCTTCAGTCCCAGCTAACCAAAACGAAAGTTTTAAGCAACTTTCCCACCCCAAATGTCTCCCTTCCCCGCCACGTCCTCCTTGAGACCTGGCTCGTCTTTTCCCAGGCTCCAGCTTGAATTTCTTCCAAAATCGCAGCTTCGTCATAAGTTTGCACAGCGACGTGCTCGCATGGGCTGTAGCACGCCAGGATCTTGGGCATTGTGATATGTTGACGCCCGCATGGCCTTACGCAGCCTCGCCTTCCATGACACAGTTCAGTTGAGTGCCTAGGTTACAGAGGGCCTAGGTGTCGGCCTGTCAGACCTTGATCCTTTGGATTTGGAAGGCATACCAGTCTGGCATGACCACGGAGTTCACTTCCAAGGTGTTGTCTCAAGAAGTCTGAAGATTCGAACCAAAAGGCCTAGACCATGACGCAGGCCTATGATCTGCATGGAGGCTCTGGAATCAGGTGCATACGACCGCACGGTGGCCAACCAAGGTGAGAGCTTGATTGCTGTGACGCTTGAAGCCCCCAATGCATCATCTTGCCTTCTGCGAGCCCCGGGGCCGAGGCGGACACATGCTAGCTGGCATAGAACTTTCCCAGCTCCAATGCGTGCTAGGGAAGTGCACAGAATGAACCCCGTCAAATGCAGAAGCTATGCTGCTCGATCGCAAGGCTGCCATGTCTGAGACTCTCAGCTCATCACCAATGGATTTTGCTCCCGTAGCTGCGGCCTCTTTTCTCCCTCCCACCTGAATGCCAAAGAAGCGCATGCGACACATCTGACACTAACGGCCAAACGAACTGCACGTGCCCTGCACAACAGCACAGCAGAAGAATCCAAGATGCAGATCCCGGTTTTTGAATGATCTTCCATTCTCGGAATCTGACTCTGGGGCAATCCAACTGCCCTTCGCCTTCTGCTTCGCTGAATATTTAACATCCTGCACAGAACTGGACAACAAATGTCCCAAAAGCGACTGCATACTGCGAGAACTTATCCTAAGCAGCGTCATCATCTTCACCACTACCGTTATCATCATCATCATCATCATCATCATCATGCCATGCGTATGTCATCGAGTAAAAAACGCTTGCTCACAGCTTTCTAAGAATGCTGGAATAGTCGTGACAAGCCACCCTCAACTGAAAGGGGCATATGGACACATCGTCTACCTTCCTGCAGCGAGTGAAGAAGATCATCTTTATCATCATCATCGTCACCATCATCATGAGCAGCATCATCATCATCCTCAGCCTCTGACCTAACAAATCCGACCCCCATTATCCCTGTGACTGTCAACAGTTTCAACCTTCAAGGAAAACGCGAGCAATCAGAAGGAACAGCCCCAAGTCCAAAATGGAGACCGTCTCAAGGAATGCAGCCCAGGAGGCACAATCGTAGCGCCCAAGGCATAAGTGTTTTTGGGTTACCACTCTCGGAGACGGCTGGCACCAAAACTACTACTTCCGGCCACGCACAAATCGCAAAAGTCCTCCTACAAATGACTAAATTGAGACGAGTTCAGTTTCTGCTGAAGAGAAGACACTGGCATTCGGCATCCAAAACCGCAAGCACCACAAATCAGCAATGGTATCCGTGAAAAAACTCTTTGCATGCTTTCGGGAAACAACTACGTCTGCAATTACAGAGAGCAGCCATCAAAAGCAGTGTCCTCCCAGGGAACTTTTGTGTAGACGCACATCATCCTCCGGCTGCTCACGTGCTACTTTACTTTGCATCACAAAGCGGTGCATGAATGCCGGCCCACGCACATGATCTGCAAGCAACTTGACTTTACGTAAAGATCCATTTCTTTTCCTGCAGTCTGATGCCTGCTTTATCTGGCCTAGGTATCACTTCTCCTCATTGGTGCACCAAGGCCGCGGAAGTCCCAGTACCTGGCAGCTTCGGAAACCAGAGCAGAACAATCAAAACAGCCTGCAGTGCCACGGGCACCCAGTGGTCAACTTTGCTGGTCTGTGCAGAAAACTGAAGCAGCTGGAGTTGCCTGTGTGCCGGCAACTTTTCCGAGAAAAAAAGGCTGGAAGAAGTTTTCAGATGACATTCTCATGAATCACTGATGCTGGGTTCTTGGCCCATGAAAATGCCGGCTATGCCCTACCGCATGTCGAGAAGGTCGCGCAGCATCTCTCCGTATGAATACGCATGTGATGCTTCAAGGTGCGCTATGTCATTGTGTACACGGTGAACGTTTGCAGACTAAGCGGCAGCGCTGTTTACCTAGTCTGCAAGCTTTCCGAGTTGTTGTGACTTCAAGGCTCGTGGATGTGACATCTGCTATTCCAGACTTACAAGAATATCCATGTTGATCCAGAAAGCCTGCCGACCTTGTTACTGTTATCAGCTGCATTGTGCAAGATAAGAGGCTATCAGTTGGATGTCGTGGAGCGCTGAGCCTCTAACACACAACCCCAAAACTGCTACATCTACATGCCTTCCGGCATGTCCTGCCTCTGGAGAATTGTGTGCTAGACAGAGTTCTTGCAAAGACTTTTTATCATGTATGTCCCACATCAGGGACGAAGCCGGCATCCGTCCTGGCATCCAGCAGCCTGGATTTCTGACAACGCGTGTGGCACTTCAGCTTGGACTGTACAGGAAGCACTGTCATCAACATCCGCCCGGCTTTCCAACTTCTTGCGTCGAAAACCAGACTGACGAAGTTTCTGAAACTGACCCTGAGCCACTTGAAACAGCCAAAAAAGGGAATTGTAAGAACTAATTCGTGCCCCACGTTGTGTGGAAGCATGGACGTCTTTCGCGATAACAAATTGCAGTAGGACGCTTGCGCTGTGCAACCGTCCTTAGACACCAAAACCGAGACACTGCAGCCAGCCAGACCTCATTCGGCCAGTGTAGCGCTGGCAAGCTGCACTCTCCTCAAAATCTCGTTCGCGGGCTTAGACGAAGGCTTGAACTCTCGCTCGGCACAACCCACTTTTGGACAAATGCTTTGCTTGGGCATCTGCTTCGGCAGCCACTTGATGGCGGCTTTGGTGGAATCTATGAGCATGAGCATGTTGAAGAAGGTCATCAGCACGCCACCCATCAGCCCCACGCACAGGAAGGGCGCATCACCCTCTGTGTAGAAAACTATCATGGCTGCTACACTTTGAGAGACCCAGACACATGCGCGAGTCAGCCAAATCGTCATGAACTGGACCAAAACGATGGCCTCAGAGCAAGGAAGAGCGTTTCCATGTTCACATGCTTTGCCGCAAGTGCTTTGTGTTGCTCCTCAAGCGACTCTCCATGGAGAATTGCTTGTACTTTTGAGGCTGTTACATTTGCCTATCCTGCAGGCTACTTGACTAAACACATTGCAGAATAAAACCATCGGCCTTGTACTGCAGAAAGTCCCACTGGGAATTCTGCGTGTCCAGTGTGAACTTGTAGCAACCCAGTAAATAGCAGGTGCCACCCGCAAAGAGCAATGAGCACATGATTGCATGAAGAGCGCTCATGGATGAGTAGTACAGAAGCATCGGCACTGTGAGCATGAGAGAGAGCGCATGGTGCAAACAAACCATGACGACGAAGAACTTTACCGGTAGCTGCACACCGAGGCATCTGAACGTGTTTGAAAAAAACGTTCTCAATGTGATCTGCAATGCATCGTAGAGGGTGAACGCCAAATCTCCCAATGCACCAGCACAGAAAAGGAATTGTCCCCTCGAACCAGCAGCATCCCAGCCGAGCAAAGCCACTGGAGCCAAAGCTATGCTCATCAACAGGTGGTGGGAGCAAATGGCAATTGTGAAGCAATAGCAATCGATCACAACAGCTTCGTCACAAGTAGTTGACCTGCTGTAGCCAAAATTGAGCATCATGTTCTGCTGGAGCGGGATCATGCGTGACCGCCATGGTTGATTTTCAACCCACCTGATCAAGCGCTTCTTGAACAGCTCAATGGCACAGCCCGTGCATGCCGCCAGACCCAAAACAAGGGTAAACACTGAGAGGACCATTGCTTTCGGATGTCTAAAGCCTGGCTATTCCAGGAGTTCCGAACCTACTGCAAGTTCCCTTGCTTTGGGCCTGACATCAGACACATGTCAAGGACAGCTCAACCAAACTTGACAAGACTGGAATTCCCTCAAATGCATTCTTGGTGGCCGTGCCCTCCACCTTGGGAGCTCCTTTTTGAAAGCACCTTTCGTCGCTTGTTGCCCGCGCTGTGCCACGTGGTTCCTTTTGCAATTTTGCAAAGGCCCCTGCAGCATGCAACATCGAGCCGCTTAATCCTCATGCTGTCCTCACAGCTCACAAATCAGAAGGCTTCCAAACAACGATCCAGGGCCACTCAACCCGGATGATCAGATTCGGACTTTAGTGGGCTTCAGGAGGGCAGGCCATTGGTGAAAAGCTTGAGCCATCTTGAACTACTCAAGCGCAAACCTTGACAATATCGCGACTGTCTGTGCACGCCACATACCGCCAAAGGTGCCTATGACCATGTCCGCATGCTGATCTTGAATTCATCAAGCTTCTGCAACATGCGAAGCAGCGTGACACCTTGGAAAAGATTGCATAGCAATTTGTTGTATGTGTACTGTTACTGTCCTTTGTTCGAAGCAAGCTGCTGGGCCATCGCTTGCCATTTATGGCATAGATGCTGGAGTAGGCCTAGAAGGACCGGGCGATAGCGGTGCTGAGGAAAGTGAACGCATGCAGAAGACATATGCCTTGATCTGCAGCTCCGGCTCAGCGTTGCTGTTGTAGGTTGGGAACAAGCCATTATCCTCCCACATCTATCATCTCAGTGGGTCTCTGGCGTTATGATCACTGCAATAAGCAGCCCTGCCTGGACGCCCAGGATTACAACGCCCAAACCACCTTCGTGAGTTGTCACCTCAACACCCAGCATCTTGTCCCCCTTCTTGCGCTTCAGCTCCACAGAGAGATACCTTCAACAAATGCAGTGTGACCCAAAAGCCGAAGGATCCGAAGGCGTAGGCAGATAGAGGATGCCTGGGATGCTCCAGCATGAGGGTGATCGTCCCTCCTTCGTTGACTAAGTCCATGAGTTCCTGGCTTCTAGTTCTCTCTGTTCTCTATGGCTCGTACAGTGGACATGATGATTAGCCTGCCTCTGCAGAACCCTTCTGGCTGTTCACAGCTATCACGCGATCCATGGGTTGAATCACCTGAGCCCCCGGGCCCCCAGATTCTTTACCACAAACTCTCTCAAATGCTCCTCAGGCCCAAACCGTGGCATCATCCTTTTGGGAATCGTTCCACTGAGAAAGAGTGCCAGAACCAACATCTTCGATGACCAGCAAATCTTCCACCTTGTGATGGTGCACATCAGCTGCAGCAACCATGTGCAGCAACATGCAGCAATCACAACGCTGTTCGGGAACAAGGAAGTCTGAGCCATGCAACTGGAAATTTGTAACGAAGCTGGGAACAGGACAACTCAACCTTCTTGCCATTGGTTCAGGTCGACTTACATTGACAAACCCCAAGTTTCCAACTCCAGTAGGCATTGCAGCAAAGCCACATGGGAGAGGCGGAGGCCATGCAGGCCGCGGCCTTTCTCAAATGTAACGGTGTACACGTTTGCGTTCACCTCATCGACCTCAGCTCTGACATAAAGCAAACCGGCTTTGACGACCTCTTGGGCGCTTCCGCAGAGCTGATCGAAAGACGGGCGGCTTTTGCTGTGACTCTCGGAATAGTCACTCCTTCCAGGCTGAATGTGTGCAAAGCTTTTATGGCATGGTCGCTGTGCCGAACACTTCTGTCCTTGATCTGCACCGTGTGCCTCGTTGGCAGGCCGAATCTGCTTTTCAGGACTGTCTGGTTTGCTGGGGATTCGGCCGTGGGAGTGTCCATGTTAGCTTCATGATTATCCGCTTCTGCCTGCAGTGGCTAGTTGCAGCTCCTGCAGCTCTGCCCCAAGCACTGAGAAACGGACGTCCGTGCACAGGCATGAGAGCATCTGCGCTGCTGCCTCGAACATTCAGCAAGCGACGCAGGTAGGCAGCCAAACACTGACTCGTCCAGCTTGCACCGAGAGAAAGCCCGCCTCCAAAAGCAAGAGGCTCTTTCACAGCTGCGGATGCCAGGCTGCACAACGGAAAGATGATGTAAAAGTGCTTGGGTATTACCTCTTGTGGGTGCTTGCTTTACTGCTTCTCTGTTCTCACGCGGAGGTCTCAGCCATCATTTCATGCCAAACTTGCCCGTACATTGTAGGCTCTTGAGCAGTCCACTAGGATTTACCTTGTCCCTTCTCGCTGTTGAGCATGAAGCCAAAAAGAGCTGCACGGGATAGGCTCTAGCGCAATAAGCCCGACGCATTCAGACGTTCTTACTTGCCGTAATCGAAACACTTGAAACAAATAAGACTTGTTCACTTCGCGAGGCCGTGACTGAGATATGTACTGTCAGCACACAGCGCTTCTGGCGTGATTAATGCCTTCGTCGGAAGTTATGATAGTGGAAAGAAGTGGGATTCATTGATCACTGTCTGGTCTCAGTGGGTAAAACTGATAGGTACAAACATGTGAAAACACGGAAGGACCCAGAAGCCAGGTGTCCAAAGCTGGCTCAATGCTACCCCGAAAGTTTGCAGATAGTAAGCCAGAGCTGCAAGCAAACGAACAAAGGTCCTCTGGCTTCAGAAAATGGCTAAATGTTGTCTTCCTGAAGATGCTTTAGAGCTCATGGGAAATTTCATGAGGTGGCTAACGGGTCGCCTTTATTCGGATGAGCCCATGACTACAGCAATTGTTGCAGCATTGTCTGGGCTATCCTTTCAATTGCAAAGCTTATAGCAGGGAATCATGTTGAGTGCCGATGATGCAGCTCCACAGAAGCTTCTGCCCAGCCAGGCAACCTCAGCAACCTGGTGTCAGGGGCCAATGTGAGCTCAGTGTTTCTACGACCAGCTTACACTTACACCGGATGTGCATTCTCCTGCGCATGTGCCCTCACAACTCCGGGTCAAAAGCAAGAGCGCAAAGTTGCACGTTGCTACCGAGTATAGATTCTGTTCTGCTTGGTCAGCCCTTGACGGTCCATGCAAAGGGTGGTTCGATGCGTGTACCGACTTCATGACCTGTCCGCTGATGCTCTGGGGCCTGCCAGCCCGGCTAGGGTTGACAATTGCTTTCTTGGATTTCTTACTTCAACATTGAGAACATCAAAGCAGGCGCTTTTGTTCAACAAGCTGTCTGCAGGTGACTCCGAGATGGACTCTAGCAGCACGAGTCGAAGCAACAAAACATCATTTTCAGGAATAGGGTTCTTGATTTCCCTTGGTGCAGGGTCCGGGACCCTCAATCGACCGCTAGCCAGGCTTTTGCTCAAACACTCGCTCACATAATGGTTGCGCAGCTTACGATTGCTGAGAAAATCTCACATCACTACTGTATCTTGAGAACTAAATTCAATGCGCAGCAGGCACAATCTGGCCGAACAAACGGCCCAAACATCTTGCCTTTTACATCAGCCTTCATGACAGACCTTGGCATTGACATTCAGAGCTTGTAAGGCTTACACTACAGTGAAAAGGGACCAGAAAAACTCGAAGGAAAGGGACTCTCATACATACAGAATTGTTCTGGGGCAGACGCCCTCCACCTGTGGCCATGCGAGGGTGTACAGTTGCAAACCAGCTGGCTTTTTGATTAGCCGGCCTTTCAGAACCCTGGAGGCAAGGCCCTGTACGGTTTCACGCTCTAAACCTTGCATTTGAGAAATGACATGGTGTCAGATGTTTTGCCACGGAGCTGCGACGACTCTGCTGTACAAGCAAGGCGTCTGTTTTGGACTGCGGGTTGCAGAAATCTCCATCATCAAGCTAATCAATGCAATTACCCGAGCATTCGATCAAGCAAGCTTTTGGCGGCTAAGCCTTGTCACAAGTTGGCGACGCTTGCAAAAACTTCATATCATTGACATGCTCGGGTTTTCTCATGAGAGCTTCTCAGCACGCTACCAGTTGACAGGTGGCGAAGCGCAAATTTGCAGCATCACTGCCAGAGAAGGCCTGACAAATGCCACCAGGTTGAAGCTGGGTTGCAACTTGAAAGACATACGAAAGCATACGAGCGTGCCACCTCAGCGTCAAGGAGCAATCCTCTGCACCTCAGCAACATGCAGCATCTTGAACTATCCAAAGGCACTTGCCCAGTAAGGTAGGCACTTGTGTGCAGCCAGGATCCGCGCACTACGAAATGACTTTCACTTTCTGACGCGGGACAGGAAGGAGGACGCCCGGGTTCCTGTACCGCAAATGATCTCATCCCATATCCCATGTAGCCAATCTACGTGCCAGAGCAGAACTGCAAGGCCTTTTTCCACATCTGTGGACTCAGAGACCTCCGACAGTCAGGTACTGAGCTCTGAAGAATACTTCAATTTATACCTTGCATGTTCCCACCCGCCCACATAAGTCAATACTAGGCGTGAAAACATCCGCAACACAAAGTGGCCGGAACATTTCAGCTTGAGTGCCCTGAAAGCCTCCAGCAGCATCTCGGCTGTTTCGCCCTTATGCTGCGCAACGGCAAATCCGACCTGATTGCTGCACGGCTCCTGCACTCCCAAACTTGTCATGCCTTGATGTCCCGCGCCTTTTTCCGACACGCAGCTCCCTCTAAAGAAGACTCACTTTCGACTTTCACCTCGCCATCTTGGATTTGGAGACTCAGCAAATCGAAGGTGAGTTGGATCTGCGAACCAGCTAGGTACCTCCGGCAAGCCATGACATCTCTCTCAACGAGTGTCCGGAATGCCTATGCCTGAGAGCACTGTCTCACGCATCCGCCGAAAAGCCTTTGCTCAATGTCAGGCGGCATTTTGTGCGTCTTTGGCACATCGTGCTGGGAGAGAAGCGAAACAAAAAACTAAAACCGCTGAAGCGGCTGAAGGAAAACAAAGTTGCTAGCAGGACATAGTCATCAAGTAAGTCCATGAAGATTGTAGGCTGCTTCCGATTCTATGCAGCAGTATCTCCTGCAACAAACCTGAAAAGCTTCCGTATTGCTGCCCAGGTAGTGTATATCCCTGGCAGAACTTCAGCCGCATATCTTTGGCGAATCATGCTCTTGCAAAGTGCACACCTTCTGCACATCAGCCCAAGCTGAAAGTGAGAATCGACTCTAACTTGATTCCCACATGCAACTCAGGGAGTTTGCAAAGTTGTCTCTGTACCTCAAGGCGATGACACATCCAGAAAATATGTCTACGTTTGATTTGCACAGAAAGCTGTCAAGCTCAATTTCGGGCGCGTACATCATGCCCACCATAGACCTTTGCAGCGCTGCAGCTGTGGGTCACATGAGGTCATCATATCATGCAGGCACTCATGGTGGTCTAGCAAATCCCTTCCGTTGCTACTGTATGAGGCCCACACATCACAGTAGAAAAGGCTATCAGCAGAATCATTAGCAATTGCCAGCACCTCCGCTGCAGCAACCAGGGTTAACACAGCCAGGAAATCAGACTTGGCTAACGCGAAGAAAGCCTCTGGTTCCAGCCAAGAAGGAAGAGTCCTGCAAAGCCCGGGGCCCAGCCGACCATCGCAGCAACCTGAGCCAAACTGCTTGCGTGGCAGGAACACAACTCGGGTTCCCACCTGACTGGCGCCATTGAGGATGTTGCAAAGTCCTTGGAAGAATGCTTTCCGCTCTCTCCTCAGTCGCTTGAATGTTCCCAGGACCCCAATGCATCCAAGCTGCCCAAGTGAGTGACAATGCAGCCTGCAAGCGGTCCATCTTAAGAAACTCTTGACAGTGTTCCCGTCCCTGCTCTGCATTTGCCAGGTGCCTCCCACCGCAGACGCAACAATGATGCTAAGCGCCGCCAAGTGCGAGAAGCGCATCGGAAGCTGGGCCTGGAGTTGGAAGACCTGGCCGCGAAAACTGTGCTTCAGCAGATCAGTAGAAAGTCTGGTGGCAGGCCACGTGAACGGTGAACTGCATGCCGGCGAACTAGTTTCCAAGGTAACTTTAGAAACACTTCAACAACATCAAAATCCGAATTGTTACCACCCTATCGGAGCAAGCTTGCTACATTGCTACATGACACCAGATCTCCAGAAGATCCAGCTGAAGAGAACAAGCTTGATCCACAAAAGGTCTGACAGCACGCGTGCCCAAGCTCCTGCTTTTTTGGGTTCAAGACTTGCATCGCTGTTCTAATGAGGTTGCATTTGGAGCAGACATTCAAACCCTCTGCCTTCACTCTCAGCTTCAAGAGCCCATCCGACATCCTTCTTGCTGCACAAGTGAGCAAGCCGCTCTGCATTTAGTGATTAGTTGACAACGGAATAGCCTCTAAAACTCGAAACAACATGGAGCTGCACGACAAAAATTTGATGGCAACCCGCTGTCCAGGACATGGTGCTGCAGGAATGCCGAACATCAAGCTCCACATGTGAGCCTCCCACGCATAAGCTGCTCTTGCCAAGCAAGCCTGCATACTCTCACTTCGCCGAAGCTTCACATGCCCACTAGGACCTGCCTCGAGCTACATCATCAAAGGTTGAAGAGTCCCTCGGAGAGGGCAGCGTCAAAGGCTGATGATGGCGCCACGCACGCTCCTGACAGAAGCACCAACAGGGAAGCTGACCAGGCATCAATGAAATTCCTCAGATTTCCTCAGCATGCCGAAGTGGAGCCACCATCGACTCAAGATAGATGGGGTAAATGGCGATCACTGACAATCCCACTCCAAGACGTGCAAGATCTCCCGAGCCGTCTGGAGGAAGATTGTTCCTCCATCTGCTTACCAGTCAGATGGTCTGCTGGTATACCCGAACTAGAAGGCCCGTGTCTCGCTTTGCAGACAAGTCGCAAGATGTTCGAAGACACCCCCGTCCCATAAAGACTTAATCCCATCAGGCACAGCATGGTGAACAGCAGGAAGACGAAGCAGAAACCTGCTGCCATAGGAAAACATGCGCTACATTCTGCGGCCAAGTGGGCCTCAAGACTAGGGTCTGTCAGCATCATTGTGCTGGAGCCCGACAAAGACCCATGAACCAACCAAGTGCTTGCAGGAGGCTAACCGTCAGGCAAATGCTGAATCGCCGAATGCTCCGGTCCTCCAACATCTCATACATTGGAACGGCACACATCCTTATCACATGCGGCAATCTACACCAATCTTCATATGGCACAATGGTCGGTCAGCCTAGCTACAAAAAGGGAATGTGTTCATGCTCCTATCCTCGCATGTCAAGAAACTGGAAAATCATAGACTGCATCAACGCACTGCCCATTGTGATGATGCCAGGACCTTACGATCATGCCAAATTAACATTCATGTGCACTGTTGCCACAAAAAGCTTGGCACTCCAGACTGTCTAGCAAATCTTATCTCCAGCTATGTAGAAGGCTTTGAACCATCTCTGAAATCCAACAACTTTTTTCTGCCCAAAGGGCCGGTGCCCAGCCAGCAAAAGGAATGGCGCGATGGCTGGTTTGACCTGATGGCAAATTACGAAAGAAAATGTGTCCAGAAAATGTTGATCACACGTGACTGTTCAAAGCTGTGCTGCAGGCCGCTCGCACTGTTGTGCTTCTGCACAGACTTTTCTGATACCATTTGCAATAATCTCGCACAGTGGCTGGGACGCAAAGAGGGTGGTTATGAGAAGAACCAAGTACACATTGGCCTGAGATTCGTAGCAAGGCAAAGAGATTCTTCGGACAGCAAAGCGTTGATGCATTACTCTTAGCAGCCAGGGCACCGCCACACTGAGACTCGAACTAAACACGAGATACTTCGGATCCATCAGGCAAAGGGGGATGACCTTTGCACTTTGGGCATTTTGTCTGGCCTTTTGGTCTCAAGCAACTTGCGTGCAAACGAGCGGCCAGCATTGATCCCGCAAGAACGGATGTCTCTTTCTTCAAAGCTGGTGGAAAGCCAACGAACTCTGCGAGTGGGTCAAAAGCATCGGCGACCACCACAAAATACCCTCACAGGCAGCAAGCTTTGACACAAGGGCATCGTGGAGAACTGGCAGAATCAGGGTCGTTGATGCAAGGAAAACTGAATTCAACACCAAGCATCCAAGCAAGCTCAGTCCGACCTTGCACTTGAAAAGATCTCTATCAAAAGGCCCAGGAACAAGGCCCAACAAACTGAATTTAAGGAGCCAGCCGAGCACCAAATGCTGACATCAAATGCCTCAGAGATTCTGCAGGTGGTTTCAGGTCACTTGAGAAGGCAGCAGTCATTCAATTCTTGATGGGAAATTATTGTTCATGTTTCTTCCGAGCCACCCATCGGAGCAACCGAGCCCATTTGCCTGGAAGGCGCCCCATCAGGCCGCCCAAATCAAAGATCTGTTGGCGCTCCTGGTGTGGACACACCGTTAGGCAAAGTCTGAAAAAGAGCCATGACTAGCAGACAAGGCGCGGCAGCTGCCACCAGAATCACATTCGTGACGCCATTCAGCAAGAGAACAAGAAGAGTCACACCTGCTGCAGCTTGACACAGCAGTCTTACTTTCCCGAGTCACCCGAAGACAGGCAACTGTCCTGCTGCCACAAGCAGCGAGGATCCAGCAGCTGCCCAGGGAAGGCTAAGCACGCCTGAACCCAAGCCTTAAAGGAGCAGCAAGGCATAGAAACATGCTGCCTGTCACACAACCACACAGTTGAGTCTCGGATAGACAACATGCATAACATGCTCTGCAGACCTTCCGGACAAGGCACTTGCATTGACCAGGTTTAGCACCATGGCCTTGGCAAAGCCCATGCGCGGCATTGCAAAGCCACAGAGTGAATCTTGAGTCTGAATCTCCCAAAGCGCCACACACCCCATTGCTGCAAGAACCTATGCAGCCCTGCAGCTGTTGCAGAGACCTTGCCGGTCTTACTCTCCTCTTGACTGAGAAGTGGTGTGGAAAGGTCCCCGAGGACATCGAGCTCACCTCCATGTCATGAGTGGGATCGTGGCACTCATGGCACACCAGGCACACCAACTGCAAATGACCAGCCTTGGCTGGACACTGAACGGCACCCTCTGCTTGAAAAGGATCTTGGGATCTCCTCGAGATCTGACCATGGCTGAAGATCCCACGAGGACATGGGTTGCCAGCGGCCTCACTGGGCTCTTCTTTCCAGGAAAGCATGAACGAATGCGGGGAGCCATCCTGTCCTGGGTCGCTGAGTAAAGACCCTCTGATGAGAACTCCATTAGAAACATGCAAATTTCTGCAATGCTGCCAGGTTGCGGGAGGCTCCCATTGTGACCAAGGGATGCTTGATTCAACACGGATTTGAGCACAACGCTCGGCCAATGCTGTTCCTTTACTGGGAGGCATTAGAGTAATTAGATTTGATGATTTGGGTTCAAGACAACTGCAATCTTGTCACAAGTATAGCAACCCTGTCCCGTAATTTCATCAGCCATGAAGTCTTCATCTTGTATAAGGCACTTAGACAGACTTAATTGCTTGAGGGAAGGCTGCCCAGGCTTACCATCTCTACTGTTCTCAGACTGTTTCCGTTTCCAGCTGGCAGCACTTCAGAACCGTACGCGACTCTGCTCGTGGTCGTACACGGTGAAGTACTTCCTCGCTGTCTCGTATTGGAATGGGTTGCATCAACTCTGTCACAGAAGTGCATTCAGGCGACTGTAGAAATGGAATCCCAAACACGAAGAGCGGGCCCTGCAGCGTTCGAAGCTGTGCAAGCGCTTCAGACAGCACGAAGACTGGAAAGCCGCCTTGGGCGGGGGAACGTCCAGGTTCATCAGAGAGAGGTTGCAGCCCCCAAAAGAGCCCTGCAAATCAGCGGTTCAAGAAGCTTCTGCCCTTGCATGCTACTCCCCATCCTGCTGCCATGTCTGTATGCAGTTGCGTAGATGCCAGGCAAACCATGAAGTCGATAAATCAGGATTGCTTGCCTCGGAAGTGTAGTCCTTTGGCGAGAGGCTCAAAATCTTGGGCTTCCCGTTGGGCCCACCTCGCAATCAAAGCTTTATGAACTCCACCCACGCAAGCATTGGAAGCAAAATTTGGAAGTCATGCCAGCATCTCGGACAGCGAAGCCCAACTTCGGCAGCGAATCCTGGTCCAAACAAACTGGCAAACAGCGCAAGAACATACGAATCACACCTCTGCATGCCAAGGACCCGACGATGTTTGAGCAGTCGTGTCCAGAACCCAAAAGCCTTCCAACACTTACGACGCTGTCTTGACACCAACGACGACACTTCCGGTGAAACCCAACACGCATAGCCGCATATCCCCAGAAGCTGGCAAGTGGAATAAACACCGAGGAGCTGCTCCAGCTTTGCAATGATGTCTGAGGGACCTGCAGTGTCCTACAGCCTCCTACAGCATTACAACATGGAACGTGAAGCACCTGCAAGCTCTGAGGTGCCGGTGTCCACAGCCACCCGGCAACCCTGGCAAAGCTTCCTCAGGAAGGAGGCTGACGCAGCATCACCGAAGCACAACAAGGAGCTTGACATCAGCCAAGTTGCTGCGGATGCTCTCCAAGGTAGATGTCCTGAATTTCCACCTGACAGGGCGATCGCAAGACAATCGCTCATCGTCCTCAAGCTCCCTGCCTGCCAGTAACCCGCATCTCCAACAACATTGACCCAGTAGAGTTCCGATGCCATGTGCTCCTGAGGAAAGATTTTTCAAAGCAACGATAAGGTCTTCACACCACACCCTCTCTCCTCCTTGATAGCACCAAAGGTGATCTCGGACTTCTCCTCGTCCGAATCAGAAAGAAAAACCGAGAACAGCGGCTGCCTGAGCATTGGACTTGCACAATTATGCTCCCTGTTTTTTGCATGAATGCCAGAACGTGCATTTTCATGGAAGTCTCTGATTGCAACGCTTTGTTCAGGGCCCTGGCTTCAGCACGCCAGCACCATGAAGGCGGCTCATGACGCTGAATTCGTTGGACTGACAGGTCTTTGCTTGTCTTGAGAGCAGGCAAGGCAGGGTACAGCAAAGACCAACGCCCCAACGCCTGCGCCATGGAGTCCAGTGCCAGGCCGAGCACCCCATCGAAGGAGAAGGTGGCAAAAGGTGTATAGCTCTCATCCTTCAGACTCGACCAGATCTCAGCTAAGCTTGTCCTTGCTGTGACTTGGGCTTCAGCGAGGGACGAGATGAAGTTGCCTTTGGAGCAAGCAGCCCCGACCTTCCGCAAAACTGCACCAAACCATGTCTTTGGGTTTGCCACACTATAACGTGATTTTCCGCGTGCCATTCTTGCATCCAAGTAGCGCAAATGGAGTCTGTGAAGCACTGACCCGTAATCTTGCCAGTGCCAAAGGTAATTGTAATTTCATCCTGGACAGATGCAAATAGCAGCGAATCAGTCAAGCTCACATAGGAGCTGCAGCTGTCTTGGAAGCTTACATCCCTCCCACAACACATCATGCAAGAGTCCGGCAGCATGCCATGGGAGACGTTGCTGCCATCACAATTGATGGCATTGATCTCAGCTGCGTTTGCATTTTGCCACACGGATTTTCCAAAAACCTAGCAACCTGAGGTTCTGAGAAGCAAGCACGATCACTCTTCCTGGGAAAGGCCAAGCGCTAACTCGAGCTGCATCTGACGCCAGCCCACAAGCCTATGATCGAAACGCCGATGGCTGGTGCAGGCCTGAAACACTCCATGCTTCGCACATCACCTTCATGCCTTCTTCCAAACTGAAAATAAGATGCATACATCGCTGGTGCAGTCACTTCCAGGAACCTTGACAGAACGAGTTAGTTCCACGCGATTACTCAGTTTTTTGCAAGCTGTAAGCTTACCAAGGCCAGAACTATGAGATTTCCGCTCCCAGTATCGAAAACCACTGAAAACTCCTTGACACCAAAATAGTTGGATTGAAAACTGTGCAATGTTTTATGCTGTTTGCTGCAGTCTCTACATAGCGTACTTCCGCCAGCATTCCCCCAGTAAAGCACATGTTATCTTAGAATATATTACATCATGCTGCGGCGATGCAAAACTTGCGAAAAGCACAAGGGCCACGGGTCCTGTGGAGGATTGCCAACCTGGCCGTGAGCCAGCACTGGATTGCAAGCAGCGTGCAAAATGGCCGTGAGGTTTGCCCGGCATGCCCGCCTGTATGGTACCGAAATACGCCATCTTGTGCTGAACACCGGTCTTGCTAGCCTGAAAGCAGCACTGTCAGTTAAGTGTGCCCAATCTTCCCCATTGTTTTTGAGGCGAACTATCACCATCACCGCCAACGCCTCCGAATGTTTCCTCACCGTCGCAACTCGCTTCTGCAGCGCTACGGACACGGAGGTCTGCCATGTAAAGGTTCACACCGGCTCATTCTGTTGCCAAGTTTGTAAGCATGGCGGCAAGTGATTTAACATCTGCAAGGCATGGCCTGAGTCGCTGAAGCAGTCCATAGCCCCAGCAAAACTGGGGCCCAGAAATTCGCTAAGCGAAACATCCTGGGCAAGTCAAATGCACAAAGACGAAGGCACGTGTTTGACAGTGACGCAGCAAGAAACAATGACAAGATGTGTAAGGTAGCGGCGCGCACTATCGAAAGGGAAGCAGGTGCTGGTGGAGGGATGTTCCGTGACAACCCCACCAGCCCTCATGCGCGTTCGATCCATTCCGAAATCAATGCGTGAAATTGACATCCAGTCTCCTCAACACACCAACATCACCAAGAACCTTCAAAAAAAAGGTGCGGACGCATTTTCGGAACTCAAAAATGTGCGGCTCAATTCACAAAAAAAGTGACGAGTAAAAAATAACGAAACAACGCTAAATTTGCAAGAGTTTGGGGGGGATTTGATATTTGAAGCCTATTTCGGCTGCGGTGCTTGCCAAATTCACTGGATCTAATTTGTTAAAAAGCATTGTTTTGCAAAAGTTTCCCTTGGATGAAGCAGAAGAGAACGGAACTGGACTAACATCATGCAAACCTGTTCGCTTCCCGGCACATGGTGGAACTAAATGAAGCTGGCGTGAAGAAACAATCGTTCTTTGGCTATCAGTGATGACGTGAAGCCACGTGGGACAGAAATGTGCAACAGCAAGGAATCGGATTTAACAAACATCCGCCGAAAACATCCAAAAACTCAGAATTCCAGGGCCTCGTCACAAAATCCAATGTTGCGGGTACACACCCTACACAAACCATTGCAATGCGGGGAAACTTTGATCGACGGAATTCACGAAATCGTAATCAGATAGCGGAATGAAAACTTGAAATCCGTGGTTATGCTGCCCAAAAAATCACAGCAAGGCTTTGCCCCATGGAGTGGGCTGTGTTTTGTAACGTCTTTCAGACAAGCTCTTCGCAAGCTCGGTACCCAAACCCACCCACACCAACCTCGATTCCAAACAATCAGCATGGTTACTCTGAACAGTATTATGTGTTTATGCAAAAATGCATAACCCTTCGCACAAAGCCTCCATAGACCCAAATGGTCAGCCGCGCGGGCCTCAAGGCTCGTTCAACCGTCCCAAATTCGTTCGGCCTATTCTGGATCTTGGGAATCAATGTCCGGATGCTTTGGGGAATCTCGATCAAAAACAAACACATACATAAGACTGCTGACCAGGGCATCCCATTGTGAATGATTAAAGTTAAATACAATCGTCCAAATGAAGGCATTGCTCTCGCGGCTTTTTGCATAAGCATTGAAACAACCCAATTAAAGGACCGGAGAACCACACATGTGTAGTTTGACCTAGATTTAAATGAGATATTATTAGGATAGCGTCGCCCGGCGATATAGGAAGACATCTTTAAAAGAAAGCAAACTCTTGAGACCACATGCCGCGGTGAAACGACGAGCACATTGCACGAGCGCAAAGTTGGCATCAGTTGCATCTGGTGTGTATGTATATGCATATGATCGCGTGTACAT